TGTTCCCTTTTCACCCACACCCTCTCCAGCAACTGTTATTTTTTGAGTTATTGATAATTGCCTTTCTGACTGGAGTTAGGTGGTATCTCAGTGTGGTTTTGATTTGCATCTCCCTGATGATTAGTGAAGTTGAACTTTTTTTTTTTTTTTGAGTTGGAGTCTCACTCTGTCACCCAGACTGAAGTGCAGTGGCCGCTCCTGGCCACCACAGCCTCGACCTGCTGGGCTCTGGCGATCCTTCCGCCTCAGCCTTCCAAGTAGCCGGAATTATAGGCATGCACTAGCATGCCCAGCTGACTTTTTTTGATTTATTGTAGAGATGAAGTCTTGCTGCCCAGGCGGGTCTCGAACCTGTGGGCTCAGGCAATCCACTCACCTCAGCCTCCCAAAGGCGCAGGATTACAGGCTGAGCCACCGAACCCGGCTTGAACATTTTTTCATGGGTCTGTTGGCTGCTTGGATGTCTACCTTTGAGAAGTGTCTGTTCATATCTTTTGCCCATTTTATAATGGGGTTGTTTGTTTTTTTTCTTTTCAGCACGTTTGAGTTCCTTGTAGATCCAAGATATTAAGCCTTTGTCAGACCTGGAGTTGGCAAATACTTTTTCCCAGTCTGTGGGCTGTTTCCCTGCTCTCTTGATGGTTTCTTTGGCTTTGCAGAAGATTGTTAGTTTAATGAGGTCCCACTTGTCTATCTTCTCTCTTATGGCCTGTGGGTTTTGGGTTTTGTTCAGGAATTGGATGCCAGTTCCTATTTCCATGAGGGTATGTCCTTCATTTTCTAAGGTTCTTATGGTTTGAGGTTTTACATTTAGGTCTCTGATCCATTTAGAGTTCATTTTTGTGTATGGGGATGATAGGGGTCCTGTTTCAATCTTCTGCATGTGGTCAGCCAGTTTTCCCAGCACCATTTACTGAATAGGTTCTCCTCTCCCTAGTGGTAGGTGGTGGAGGCTTTGTCGAAGATGAGTTGGTTGAGAAATTGAGGTTTTGCTTCTGGAATCTCAATTCTATTCCATTGGTCTATATACCTGTTCCTGTACCAATACCAAGCTGTTTTGATTATTGTAGCTTTATAGTAAAGTTTGAAGTCTGGTAATGTGATACCATCTGCTTTGATTTTTTGCTGAGGATTGTTCTGGCTATTCTTGGTCGTTTGTGTTTCCATATGAATTCCTGTGTTGTTTTTTCTAGGTCTGAGAAGAATGTTGCTGATAATTTGATGGGTATTGCATTAAATCTGTAGATTGCCTTAGGTAAGATGGACATCTTCACAATGTTGATTCTTCCAATCCATGAGCATGGGATATTTTCCCACTTGTTTGTATCATCTTTGATTTCTTTGAGCAGTGTTTTGTAGTTTTCAAAGATCTTTCATGTCTCTGGTTAGTAAAATGCCAAGGTATTTCATTTTTTTTTTTGTGGCTATTATTAATGGAATTATGCTTTTTATTTGGGTTTCTGTTTGTTTATTATTGGTATAAAGAAATGTGATTGTCCTTTGCACATTTATTTTATATCCTGAGACTTTGCCAAAGTCCTTTATCAGTGTAAGGAGGTTTTTGACAGATTCTCTTGGGTTTTCAAGGTACACGATCATGTCATCTGCAAAGAGAGATAACTTGACTTCCTCTTTTCCTATTTGAATACCCCTGATTGCCTTCTCTTCTCTGATTGCTCTAGCCAGGACTTCC